CAGCACCCAGGCTGACTTTTTAATTTGCAAATAAGGTAAAATCTCAGATACCTCACAGTTCTTGGATCTAAGATAGCTAGCTGTATGTTGGCCCAATAGTTTGGAGTCTACTGCAGTGACCCAAGTGACAGATGCTAACTTTCATTTTAAAAGGCTGTGAAAATAAGTATAGAAAAGACAATGGATTTCAGAAATATTTAGAAAGTTAAGTTGACAGAACTTGTGGTGGTTTGAGTGGGAGAGATGGTGAAGGAGAGTAATCACACATGATCCCAAGGTCTAGCCTGATGTAGGGGTCATTGGTGGGGCTCCTTGAATATTATTAGAGAAAGATTCTGGCTTGGAAATAGAACAAAGAGAGCAGTTTCAGCCGTAACTGAAACTAGAGATGCTCACAGGGTATCCAAAAAAGGATGGTCAGAGAATACCTTCCCTCTAGAGGTCTGATGCTCACGGAGTAAGGGCAAATGTGCAACCAACATGGAGACGGGAGATCAGCAGTACAGGTGGTGTGGGAGCAGCCTCCAGCACGGACCCTCCTGGTCCTGGCTCCCTGGCACTCACAGCCTCAAGTAGCCCTCCTACTGCACTGAAGCTGGTCTGTATGATAATAGAATATAGTAGAAGAGATGGTACATGACTATCAAGCTTAGGGCAAAAAAGACATTGGGATTTCTACCTTGGGATCTCTCTTGGATGACCTGCTCTGGGGGAGACACTCCAGATCCATGATGATGAACTTTTAAAGCTTTTAATAATAAACAGGCAGATATGGCACACATGCCATAGGTTCACCACTACTGCTCAAGATGGGGGGCAGGGTGCAGTCCTAGGTGCACGAGCTGTAGTGGGAACGGAGCATAACCCTGGGCAGATCTTCAAATGGTCGGCTCCCTGGCTGATACCTTGATTCCAACCTCATGAGAGACTCTGAGCTAGAGCCACCGGGTGTAGATGCTCCCAGAGTCTGACTCATAGAAACAAACTGTGAGGTTACAAATGGTATTTTCAGGTGCTGTCTTGAAGTGACTTATCACACAGTAGTAGATCATGCAGGTGCTGACTGAACTGTGACTTCCTTCCACCTTCTTCACTGCCAACTCCATCACCCACTGTTTCTCCTCACCTCTACATTAATATTTTCCTGCTGCCCCACTCTGCCTCCCTCCTTTTTAGAGGACTCACCCACCTATGTTCGTGGCAAAATGATGGCTCCTCAATTTCACATGTTAGCTACCTCTAGTTGCCACAAACTGGGTGGCTTAAAATAACAGAAGAGAAGCCTGTCAATGTTTAAGAGGTTGGAAGTCTGCAATTACAGCGTCAGCAGGGCTGTGCTTTCTCTGAAGGAGCTAGAGAATTAGCTGTTCCCCTGCTTTCTCTTCCCTCTTGTGTTTGCCAGCAATGCTGGTGCTCCTCGGCTTCTAGCTGCACAACTCTGGCATCTGCCCCCGTTGGCATGTGTAATTCTTCCCTCCTTGTCTGCCTCTTCTTCTCTGCAAAAGCCAGCAGCAGATTGGACTAGGAGCCCAACCCACTCCAGTATGACCTCACCTTAATTTAATGACATTTACAGTGACCTTATTTCCAAATAAGGTCATATTCTGAGGCACTAAGGGTTAGGGCTTCCTTATGGTAGCTTTTTTTGGAGGCTGGAGGGTTCCTGGGAATTGAACTCAGGGACTTCACACCAAGCTACATCCTCAGCCCTTTTTATTTTTTGAAGCAATTCTCACTAAGTTGCCCAGGCTGGGCTCAAACGTACCATCCTCCTGCCTCAGCCTTCCAGAGTGCGGAGATTATAGACATGCAACACCATGCCTGGTTCTTTATAGCTGCAGCTGACACTGCTGGCTATATTCTCCTGAGTCCTCCCCTCCCTTGATTGAGAGCACCCTTCTTTTGATTCTTCCATTGAGTAACCATGCCTCAGTCTCCTGACCGGATGCCTCTTCTTCCATTCATCTCCACTGTGGGGCTCCATGGAGTTCAGAATTTGGCCACCTGTGCCTCTAAAGCTGCACCCTGTGATGGGGTGGTCGCAGACAGAGCAATGGCTCCAGAGCGCGCCATGCTCCGTGACTCTCAAGGCTCCTTGTGTGTGGCCTGGGCAGTGACTCTGAGTCCCAGACCCAAGTATACAAATTCCAGGGACAGAGACGAGACTCCACCTCCCCAGTTGACCAAACTCTTCCTTTCCCCTCCATGCCTGTGTCCCTGCTTGTAATTCTCTTTGGGCATGCCTCCCCTCCCCCTGGGTCCACTAAATCCCCATAAATAAATGTCGGGGATTCATTTTGCACTTCTCCTGCCCCATGCCACATCAGCCCTACCTCCTAAAGAAACCCTGAGTCTGGTCCAGCAGTGTCACTGCGTTCTGGTGTGGACTTTTAGCATCTCTCATTAGATGAAGGCCATTTTCTCCTCTCCACAGTGTCTCATCTGCCTCCTTTCTCTACCTACTCAATCTTCCAGAATCTTCCTCCTCAAATCTAATCTAATCTTTCACTTGCTTGAAACTCCTCAGTATCCTCTTCAGGGTAAAAACCAAATTCTTCACCATGACCCATAAGGACCTTCACCAGCTCCTGGCCCTGGAGCCATTATCTAAGGCCTACCTCACACCAATCCCTTGTCCCTCCTATCACTTAGCCCAATCTATCACCAACAGATGTCCTTGTTTCAAGCATGCTGAGTTGGGTCCCACCTGTGAAGACCTCTGCCTCCTTCTCTCCCTCTTTCAAGACCTGGAATGGTGGCCCTGGACATGTGCCTTCCAGACATCCCACACTGAGTCTGCACAACTGACCAAAGGCCCCACTTGCTCTGCTCTGGAATCCATTTCTGCATTCATGTTAAGACCATGCTTTCCAAGGGATACATCCACTACTGACAGAGCCCTGTAGGTCTTCTCCTAGGAGACCCTGGACTCTCTGACAGCCATCTTGGGCTAGATGACCCCCTGATGCCCCCGGCCCAAGCCAACCTTCTTTCCCTTTCTTCTTTTCCCCCCAAGGAGCCTTGTAGAATGGCCTGACCACTTCCCTGCCATTCCTAGTGGGCCTTTCCCACCCCTCTTACAGAGATTTCCCCAAAGAAAGCTGTTTCCTTCCATCTTGGTATCAAGACAGGTAGCACACCTGTCTACAGTGTCAGAAAGCCTCTTCTTTAGGAAACTAGAAAAGAAGATCAGTTTAAGCCTAAAGCAAAGAAAGTAAAAAGCAGAGCAATGCCAAAATTCAGAACAGAAAAACAGCAGAGAAGCAACAAAACCAAAGGCTAGGGCTTTGAAAAAGAATCATTTAAACTGAAAAACTCCTACTCAGGCTGACCAAGGAAAAAAGACACAAATTACCAATGTCAAAAATGAAAGGAATGATCACTACTAAACCCATGGACACTTAAGGACAATCAAGGAATACTACAAACACCTATAGGTCCACAAATTTGATAAGTTCAATGAAAAGGACAAATTCTTGAAAGATACAAACAGCACTCACACGGAGAAATAAGTAATCTGCATAGGCCTATATCCATTAAAGACATTGAATCAATAACTAATAATGTTTCAATAAGTAAGGCACCAGGCCCATACGGGTTCATTAGTGAAGCCTACCAAATAGTTATGCAAGAAGTGATCTCAGTGCACCGTAATCTAGAAGTGGAATATAGAAGCAGAGGAAATGCTTCCTAACTCATTCAATAAGGCCAGAATTATTCTAATACTCAAACCAGACAAGGACATCACAATAAAGGAAAAACAACATACCAGTATATCTCTCATGAACATAGATGCAAACTCCTCAATAAGATATTAGCAAACCAGGGCTGGGTATGTAATTTAGTGGTAAAAACAATGGGTTCAAAGCCCTGGGTTCAATCCCTACAAAAAAAAAATTGCAAACCAAATTGAACATTTGAAAAGAATTATATACTATAATTAAGTGAGGTTTATCCCAGGTGTGCAAGGCTTATTCAATAAGCAAAAATCAACCAATGGTACAACCACATCAACAGGCTAAAGAACAACAAAAAATCATATGATTATATCAATAGATGCATAAAAAGCATTGGATAAAATCCAACACCCATTCATAACAACAACAAAAAAAAACTCAGCAAGCTAGGAATAGAGGGAAACTCCCCTCAACTTAATAAAATTCGTTTACAAAAAGCTTAGGAGCTAACATTGTTTATAACAGTTAGAAAACAGAAACTTTTCCCTGAAGATTGGGATGAAGACAAAGGTGTTCCCTCTCTCTGCTCATTGTACTAGAAGTCTTCACTAACACAGTAGAAAGAAAGAAAGAAAGAAAGAAAGAAAGAAAGAAAGAAAGAAAAAGAAAAGCTATGAAGATTATGAAGGAAAAAGTGAAAATTCTTTCTCTGTTGATGATATGATTGTGTACGAGAAAATCCCAAAAAATAATTTAAAAACTTCTGGAACTCATAAGCACATACACCAAGGTTGCAGGACTAAGCATTACAAGCCTTGGTTTCATTATTCCTGGTTCCATCTCAGGTGGATTTGGCCACTTTTTTGTGGACCTCCCTTATATTTGCACAAACCTCTGCTCCAGCACTTTCTGCCACTGGGGCTTCCTCCCCCTGCCCCTGTGAGGTCACGACTTGCAAACTTGTTAGTCACCCATTGGTGTCCGGGACCTTCAGAGCAGGAACAAGCCTGGCTCGCCCCTCCCTCTACCCAGGCACTCAATAAACGCTCTTCTTGTTAAAGACAATGAGAAATGCGTGTCGCATTCTCACTTGGGTCACTTCTCTGTTAGGACACACTATTTCAATATTCAGAAATATCAAAAATCTCTGATAGGACAATACTTTGTCAGTAAGTGTATCTAATTATCTTAGGGACAACAAGAAAACCAGCAGAATTCAGCCCCTGAATTTACAGATGATAAACAGAAGATATAATATCATGTGTAGTTTCTACCGTTGTTTTGGTCCTTATGTCAGTAAAATGATTTTGCCTATGATCTTAGGTTGCATGATAGATTGTTGCCAACCTCGATACCAGATCAACTGCCAAATGGCCTGAAGAAGAGCGCTCTGCTGATACAAGTGTCAGAAACAGTGATCACGTGGCAGCACAGAAGGGGCCTCTTAAAGGGGCCCAGAGAGATACAGTGAAGCCCTTGTGACAGATGGAAGTGCGGAGCATTGCCTAACAACTTTGTGCACTGATCCTGTCCTGCTGGGGCCTCTGAGGAGGCACACCTGTTCCTTATCTTTATAGGAGGCTTTTCCTTTGAAGTCCAAGGCATGCTGATGGAAAGGCAAGAGGATCCTGCAAAGAAGGTCATTCTTGTGAGAACAAACTACTTCATAACTGCTTCTTCTCCATGCCAGTTCATCTCCTTTCCTCTTTCCTAAGCTAATCTCGCTTTTGTCTTATTTACTGTGGTGGATTGACAGCTGGTGTCAACTTGTAACACCCACCTGAACTGAACCAGTGTGGTGCTGGGTGTAGGAGGCGCACCTGAGGATGGCTGCCAGCAGCATAAGAGGAGAACTGGAGAGGAAGGGGAGGAGCTGTTGATTCTCCTGAAGAAGCTTGTTGTGCTGTCTTTCCTAATATGAACTCAGCTGTACTTATTGTCGGAGGAGCTGTGGGCCTCACTAGTACTGAGGATGGCTGTAGTTTACTTTGGGGGAGCTCTGGTCCTTACTTTGTGCATCGCTTCCTGGCTCTAGTGCAGACCTCCTTGGCCTGCTGGCACAGATCCTTCATCCTGCTGGTGCAGACTTTCTGGCTTCCACCACTGACCTTTGGGCCTTCCAGTGCAAATCCTTAATACAGACTTGCATGAGACATTGCTGTGGACTCTAGGCCTCTGGCTGGATTCATGGACATTACCATGGGCTCTGGGTCTTCAGATGGACTCATGCAGGACATTGCCATGGGATCCAAGCCCTCAGCTGGATTCTTTGGGTCTCTAGTGTGTGGATAGATCTCCCACACTCTTCTGGATTTGACTCTTTGGATGAATATTATAAAATAATCCTATAAATTATGTGTCCTGTATTTAACCCTTTCCCTTATAAACCTTGACTACAACATTTACCTAGATTCTTTTGCAAGACCTCTATGCAATACCTGTTAAGCATAAGGGGAAATGAGTTTTATCATCAAATGAATAGGTAATGCAATAGCCTGAAACATGTTATTTCTAAGACACAGCATATTACCCCATATCCTCTCTCCCTGAGGCTACTGTGATGTGCTGGGCAGAGTTCCTGTGGAAAAGGTGAGGGTGTCTTATTCTCTCTCACAACTACCTTACGTGGGAGAAAGCTCTCCACAAGTTTGGGTTAATAGATGCTATGTACTTTTGCCTTCTCTGCCACAAAGATCCATTTTTCATGGTCAACTAGACCACACCCGAGATTCTTCCTTGCACCAGCAATCTAGGAACACTCAGAGAATGGAAATTAATTTTGTAAACACTTTCAAAGCCCAATTTAAAACCGGATCTAAGAATACAAATGCAGGGGCTGGGGATTTAGCTCGGTGGCACAGCGCCTGCCTGGCAAGTGTTGAGGTCGTGAGTTCGATTCCCAGTACCAGGAAAAAACAAAAAACACAAATGAGTTGGATTTGTTTTCTTTCTTTGTGTTGTTTGTTTGGAATGTAGAGGATTTTTTTTATTATTTGTTTAGGGTTTTTTGTTGGTTTCAGAAGGATGTTGGACTGAAGCTAGGGCCTTACACATGCTAAGAACATGCTTCACCACTGGGCTATACTCCCAGCCCAACAAACGAGCTTTTTAGACAGCCTACTTTCTCTTAAAGTCCTAATCCATTGCTTTAGAATGTAAGAAAGACCTCACATCAAGAAGTCGTGGAGGTTTCGCAGAGCCCCATTGAAATTTTCTGTTAGCTTCAGTTTGGAAGGGTGGCTCATGGCCTATGCAACATGATTTATTTAGAGAGTGTCATATGTTTGAGAGCTGCTCTGGCAGGGGACTGTGCTAAACATGGAGATATACACTCCATGCCCACTGGGCTCACATAAAAGGGAAAAAGACGCAATAGGGGTTTACCTCAGTGGGCGAGGCCTGATACTTTCCAGATGGTTACACCACAAGTGAGTTCAATAGAAATATCTTTAGAAAAAGATGCTCAAATATTAAATAAGTGATGAATATACATCAAGCCACAATCTGCTACATTTCTTTACATCTGGACTGGGAGTGTCACCCGTCCCTCGCTGCAGATGGGGTGGTCTTCGCTGTCAGTGGGAGGCCCCGTCAGATTTCCCATTAGGAAGATTCTTCTGGCAGCCTGAGTTCTAGAACCTAAATGCTGTCCATAAATAGATTCAGGGCTTCTCCTGGGACAAGGAAGGCGGGGAGAAAAGAGCAGCAGAGGAGAGCCTTTCTTGAATTCGGTCCGTATGTCTCGCATGTGGAAGAGCGGCATTTCCTGCTGAATCTTGGGAAAGGTCAGTAGACACAGCAGTTAGAAAGCATTAACACAGGGCTGATCAAATGATGACCATGAAATCACTCAGAAACCAGCTGGCCAGATTTCAAGGAGCCAGTGGTAAGGCAAGAGACCCTCCAAAGGAGCCCGCTGTCAGACCTTTGGGAGGCAAGGGCGGGCAAAGGGCCAGCCTTTCCTCAGGTAATCAGCGGATCTGTTTAAGGAGACGAAGGCAGTGACGGGAGCCTGGCTTCATTATCTGCTTCATCATGGGGGGCTCAGGCAGGGTAAAGCTCAGGAGACCCCCGGGAGGTGGGGATGCCTCACCCAGAGCTCGCCTGGTGCCTTCATCGTCCTTGTCTACCCTTAAGAAGCCACAAGGCCACTCCTCCAGTCTATTGCCAAAGTACTAGAATGCTCCTGGCAAAATGCTGAGGTTTGAGTGTGGGCCCTATCAGGAAGTACATTACAGTACACACTTGTGTGGTATGGCCAGCTATTCTAGCCTAGAGGGAGGGTCTGAAGGTTCATCCACATGAGCACACAGCCCTGATCACCCCCACTGCCTCCCCACCCGCACTGACCGTGTATGAGGTGTCATCCACACGTGCAGTGAATATTTAAATTTTTAAAAAAATGTACTGCAGTAAAAGACATGTCACCAGTAATTCCCCTCAAAATACTTCCCCTCATTTCAGATGCATTTATCATTCCTGCCACTTTCTGAAGCAGTTCTGGAAGTCCTCTCGTGGGTATCTTTATGAGCAGTGATCAAAAATACAGTGAAGGCTGCTGCTTAGTGCCACCCAATGGAAAGGCAGGCTCCTAAAAACATTAGTGTGCCTTGCTCCTCCTTATTTACTGGATCTGACAGTGTGAGACTTCTGGGTCTTCCTCAAAGTCAAATAATGAAAGTTAAATATTTTGAATCCATCAGGATGTCAAGGCAGCCACAAGCACAACTAAAGACACTTATGAGAGAGGATTTCCAGAAGTGCTTCAGAAAGTAGAAGACTGGTGGGGTAAGCGTGCTCAGAGTGAGGGGAGGGCTTTCTGAGGGGGATTCATGGCAATGTGTCATCTATAATAAAACGTTAATTTAGACATTCACTATATTTTTAGAAATCATACCCTGAAGATTAATATCTAAAGCCCTACTTAAATGAATTTGAATCTTGCTCTCTAGTAGATTACCAGAATCGTGGGGCTGGGGATTTAGCTCAGCAGCACAGCGCCTGCCTGGCAAGCGCAAGGTTGTGAGTTCAATTCCCGGTACTGGAAAAAAACAAAAGCAAAACAAAGATGAGAATCACAAGTCAGGTGTGGTGGTGTATTTCTATAATCCCAGCACTCTGGGAGGCTGAGGCAGGAGGATCACAAATTCAAGCCCAGTCCAGAAAATTAGGTGACTTAGTGAGAATTTGTCTCAAAACAACAACAACAAAAATAAATAAATAAATAAATAAATGGACTAGGGATGCAGATCTGCATGAAGGCCTCATGAATACAGGAAAAAAAAAAAAAAGGTGAGAATCACCAGAAGTTAAACCACAAATTTCTAGTCTTTAGTGCTAACCTACAGAAGCTACATGTTTTGGAAGAGAAGTGTAATGACCCGTCTGTTTAACAAATAATCCTCGTGATGCTTCTTTCTTATCAGGGTTCTCGGCCCTGAGGGTTCTTGATTTACGACTGTGGCCCAGATCGTTACCTCAGCTGCCCAGCTGTGCTGGAATGGGGCTCACACACCAGTGGTTTTTCCCAGCTCGTTGGGACTGAGTCTAGGGTGTGATGCGTGTGGTGGTTCCCCTACTTGTGCAACTCCCGCAAAGCATCCAACTGCTCTGAGCCTCAGTTTCCTCAGCTGAAAGATAAGAATCATAATCTGACCTACCTCTGAGGATTATTTTGAGGCTGAAAGAGCTGATAGTGCAAACTACCTGGCACATTGCAAGCAGTCGGTAGATTTTACCTCTCATTACAGATTTCACACATGCTTCCACGTTAACAACTGGGGGCTCAAAGATGAATGAACAAAATGTGTCTCCTGTGACCTTGAGGTGTTGGGGAGGGGTCATCTCTCTGGAGAGAAGACGTAGGCCAACTAAAAGGTGATCCATGAGCGGGGCCTCAGAAGCAATATGAGCAAGGTGAGCTGAGCTCAGATGGAGTGGCGCGTGCCTCTAACAAGAGATTACTGCGTTGGGGCCATGAGAGGGTGACAGTTGAGTGAGGGTTTGAAGAATGGGACATCTGGCCTGACTCGCAGGGTGGCAGGTGGGCAGTCCCAGAGGAACAGTGAAAGGAGCTCTTGGTGTCCTAAGAGATAGCATTTCCAAGTGACTGGGTTTAACATTCAGGGGATGAGCCACAGCAGCAGATCGGGATTGAATTCTAAAGACTTCTAAAGGCTATTCTGAGGGTCTTGATTTTTTTGACAGTGGAAATCAATCACCAGAGGATTTGGAGGTTGTTGATACAATTGGATTCTGCTTTCAAGCAATAATCCTGACAGTAGCCTGTAGAATGGGGATATGGGAGGCGGGGCAGAGTGGGCTGAACATGTAATCCATGCATTCACAAAAACTTCCTGATGAGTGCTGGCAGACACTAGATGCCGGACTACAGCGGCGCAGAGGATGGAACTGCTCCCCACACAGTTAGACAGTGGCCACAAGAGTCTGCGTGGGTTGGAGAGGACCAGCAACCGTGGGACAGGAGAGGAGGAGTAACAATGGGAGAGAAGTTGTGGCGCTCCAACCAACAGGTCTGGGGACATCTCATTAGATAAGACTAATATCGCCAAAAAAGAAAAAGGCTAATACTTCCGAAAAGAGAAAAAGCATCTGGGACAGCAGACACTAAGAGGTGCATGTGGGAGACTCTGGCCTTTTGCAGTCCTTTGATCTCCCCACACTCTTTACCCTGAAAGGGCTTTGTGAATGCCATTTCCTCTGCTGTTCCTGGGAGAGGTTTTCTTGTGCAGCCCCTTGAGGCTAGATCTTCATTCAGCCCTGCCATCGT